CATTTATAGTCCCTCTTTTCCTCCCATAGCTTATCCTATATATATATATATATATATATATATATATATATATATATATATATATATATATGTATGTATGTATGTATGTATGTATGTATGTATGTATTATATATATTATATATATTTTATATATATATATATATGGGAGACGACCGACTTTGAAAAAAAAAAAAACATATATATATGTATATATATATATATATATATATATATATATATATATATATATATATATATATATTTTTATATATATATATATATACAGGCATACATACATACATACATGCATGCATACATGCAGGACAATCTATGGTGATGGGGGGGGTGGAAATCTTTAACTCAAAGTAATTTCACACTTCTCAGTGCGTCATCAGGAGCTGTGCAATGTTGCAAGGGAGCAACCAAAGGAGGGAGAGAGGTCTCAGAGTAGCGTAGGTGTCACCGGCCACGGTTACCCTTAGACTATATATGTATGTATGTATATATAAATGTTAGCCATGGAGGCAAAGAAGGGAATGTACGAAAGTATGGTGGTACCAACACTCTTTTATGGGTATGAAGCTTGGGCTGCAAATGCTGCAGTGAGGAGGCAGCTGGAGGCAGTGGAGATGTCTTGTCTAATTTATTTATTTATTTATTTATTTATTTATAATTTGAGCACACTTACAGAGGTACAAAAAAAATACAGATAAGAGCAGCATGCCAAAGCCACTTATACTATGCATAGCATTACGGGCTGGCTTAAAATTAACTTAAGATTAACTAAGCAATGATGAAATCAGTGAAAAACATTAATGTAAACTGATTACTATAAAGCACAAGTGAGTATTACAAAGACAGGTCATATGGTTGCTATAAATTCAGTAGGGAATGGAGTATTCGTTAGGTAGTGTATTTTTAAAAAAATAATAAAATTAGATTGGGTTTTAGGTTTAACATTTAGTGATATAATTGTGAGAAAATTTAAGATATACAATTTATAAGGTTCAGTTATTCAGTATTTATTTGGTTTTGGTGTAGTAAGTGATCTTTGAGAAGAGACTTGAATTTATAAACAGGTAGTGTTTCTTTTATATTTACAGGTAATGAATTCCAGATTTTAGGGCCTTTTATGTGCATTGAGTTTTTGCATAGCGTGAGATGGACACGAGGAATATCAAAGAGTGATCTGTGCCTTGTGTTATGGTCATGTGTTCTGTTGAGGTTGGCAAGGAGATGTTTGAGGGGAGGGTTAATATCAGAGTTGAGTGTTCTATGTATGTAATAGGTGCAGAAATAAGTATGGATGTTTTGTATGGTGAGTAGGTTGAGTGTATTGAATATTGGTGGAGTGTGCTGCCTGTAGTGTGGGCAATGTGTGGTGTAAATATTGTGCAGAGAGTTCAGATTGTAGAAATTAGGAGGTGTGGATTTAATAAGAGGTCTGAGAGGGGTTGTGGAGGTAGTTTGGTCATTTAGAGAGAATGGATCAAAGTAGAATGACTTGGAGAGCATATAAATCTGTAGGGGAAGGAAGGTGGGGTAGGGGTTGTCCTCAAAAATGTTGGAGGGGTAAAGGAGGTTTTGTGGGCAAGGGGCTTGGACTTCCAGCAAGCATGTGTGAGTGTGTTAGATAGGAGTGAATGGAGATGAATGGTTTTTGGGACCGGAGGAGCTGTTGGAGTGTGTGCAGGGTAATACGGTGGAACCTCGCCTTAAGAACTTATTCTGTTCCGTGACCTTGTTCGTATCCTGATTTGTTCTTATGCTGAGTCAATTTTCCTAATTGAAATTAATTGAAAAGCCATTAATCCATTCTGACGGAATTCCTGCTCTCAGAGGCAGGAAAAATACACTTCTATATAACGCTAATATCAACTCTACAGCTTTTTTATCTATTACAAATGATCTAATATGACATAATAAACAATATAAATAACATAGACACCTGATATATACTCTAGAATGAATGAAATATGTCATTACATATGTGGCTATGTAGTGGTGCTGGTGGCAGAGGGGAGTTTATTGTTTGGAGACATTACAAAATTCTCCTTCAATATGATGCTAATGTCAACTCTATGGCTTATTTATCTATCACAATTGATCTAATATGACATAATAAACAATACAAATAACATAGGAACCTGATATATATGCATGTACATGCATTTGTAGTGTGACCTAAGTGTAAGTAGAAGTAGCAAGATATACCTGTTATCTTGTGTGTTTATGAGACAAAAAAATGACACCAGCAATCCTACCATCATGTAAAACAATTGCAGGTTTCCATTTAACACTCACTTGGCAGGACGATAGTACTCCCCTGTGTGGTTGCTGTCTTCATTACCTTTGTAACTTGTGAGTTCATTACCTTTGTAACTTGTGAGTTCATTACCTTGTACCTAGTTCAGCCATCAAAACTTTGGAGCCCAGTCCCTGGACCCATTGTGTACCTCTGTAATCTGTAAATACCTTTGTAACTTGTCATGATTGTGACTAGACCTACCTGGAGTTCATTACCTTTGTAAATTGTGAGTTCATTACCTTTGTAAATTGTGAATTCATTACCTCTGTAACTTGCTCAGCTATCAAAACTTTGAGGCCCAGTCCCTGGACCCATTATGTACCTCTGTAATCTTTGACTACCGCCCACAGGATGGGTATGGGGTGCATAATAAACATACTAAACTAACTAAACTGTCTGCCAACCCACTTCCTAGGTAGTTGAACTTGCTTTCCTCAAAATACTCTCCTTGGGAGTCTATACACTTATCCCAGCACCTCTGCTACTTCTCAAAACATTCTTCTTTCTTAACAGTGTCTGGCACAGCCTGCGGTTCTGCTTAAATCTCCTCATCATCATTAAAATGCCCCTCATTGAATACCATTTATATTTTTTGGAAGAGAAAGAAGTCATAGTTGGCTAGATCTAAGGAGCAGGAAAGGTGGGGGATGACTGCCATGTTACTTTTTGGCTAGAAAATGATGGTCCTTCTGGTCTTGAGTCAGCAAGCAGAGCACAAATTTTGTAGCCACTTGCCTCTTGTTCAAATTTTCAGTCAAAATGCTTTGACATAATCCGTAAGAAATTTTCACAGCTCTTGCAATGTTCTGGATACTCTGACGATGTTCTTTGTGAATAACCTTCTTCACTTTTTCAATGTTGGCATCTGTTTTTGACATTGATGAACGACCAGAGCATTCATCATCCTCGATAATGATCGACCTACTCTGAATCGAGAAAACCATTCATCACCAGATGTTTGTTGAAACATTTTGTGCATTTCGCTAGCCATTTTGCTGAGTTTGAAACTGAATTTCACACATGCTGACATGACAAAAAATGCCCGTCTAACCTCAGCAGAATGACCAGTCACTCTAAAAGTCTCCTTGCTACTTCACAAAGGGGTGTACTGAGCAGTGTGATCTACACTGCCACCATATTTCACTCAGGAAGTGCACAAAAATTCGAATATGGGACTTTTTGATAGCATCTTTTACAGTACAGGGAGGCCCCGTTTGACAGTGGTTTTCAGTTATACCTATTCTTCATTTATTCAGACTTCCTATGATAAATATATGCACACTCACTATAAGGTAAGGATGAAAATGTTTTAAGGCAAGTAATGTGTACTGTATATGCTTTTTTTAGGTCTAGCTATATTGTTCACTTAATATATGATAGTGTAAACATGTTATTAGGCTTTTATATGCATTTGAAAGTAAAAAAAGGCTGTGATTCACTTTACAACAATAGCACAGAACCTAACCTGCTGTATAAGTGGGGCCCTCCTGTATTATACTGTATATGAATACCTCGCTGTATATATACAAGTATGTGTTGAGATGAGGAACTGTGACTTGTTTGAGTGACATAACCTAAGAAGTATTCATCTACATTGCTACACATTGTCACTCACCTGGAGAGTACTTGAGGGCCTTGTCTCAAATCTGCACACTGCCATACAACATATTGGAGTGAGAGATATGAAAGGAAGTGCAAAATAAACCCCATGAAAAGCAGAACATATCAGATACACTACTGGGACAAGTATAGAAGTCTTCAAGAGGAACTGGTCAAGTATCTTCACTAGGTACTAGATCATCCAGACTGTGATGGATATGTGGGGCACTGGGCCACCAGCAGCAACAGACTGGTTGAACAGGCAAGCACCAGATGAGCCTGGCCCATGGGTGGCTCCAGGAATTAAGAAACTCTCGGAACTCATCAAAGGTGTATCAAAGATAGAGGTATACCCGTGCCATCAAGTGAACAACTTCATTCATGTTATAGAAAAATCAATATGTACAATTCTTTTGATATGTAAACCCCTTCCTTCAAAAATGTCTGAAGTAAAGGAAAAATTTTCATGAGTCCACAATCTCAGAGAAGGGAATACGCTTTCTTATGGTTGAAATAAGTTATATATAGTATAACTTTAACATTGTTTTTAGTCAGAATCATCCAGTCTGTTTTATTTATTAGATGTGTCAGATTAGGTAAGGTAGAAGTGTATATGTGTCAGATTTGGTAAGGTAGAGGTGTATATGGTTTTGTATCCTTTGTATGAATTTTTAAAGCTCTAATAAGCAGAATGCTCTCCCAGTTAAAGCTTCCTCTTCAACATTTGTTTTTTCTTTAATACAGGTACCTGTGTTATTATTATTTTTTAATTACTATACTGTGATATTTTTGTTGAAAAAAAAAATTAAACTGTGTAGAATAGAACTATGTTAGCATGAATTTCATTTAAAGATTTAATGTTACCAATAGGTTTCTTGAAATGCTAACTTGAACGCAAGCCTTTGGAGCCTTTTTTCTTAAAATTTTGTGCATATTATGTCCAGAAATTTTATTTGCTATTTGTGCTTGCTTGTTTTGTTTAAATATTATGTCTTTAACTTATCAAATTTATCCAATGTTAAACTTTGAATTGTTATTACATTGATAATTTTTGTGGCTATTGGATAAGTTTGTGATTAAAGATTGTGTAGATTTTACTAATGAGTTCAGTTATAGAATCATCTATACTTGTATCTCTTAACTGTAGCTCACATTTGCTACTTTTCTCTGTAGCAAATGTGAGCCCTCGACTAGCAGCCATTATCCGGGCTAACGGCCAAAATCTCCAGGCCCTTCTTAACTGTTTCTTTGGTAAGGGTGTGGGTGAATGTGCATGTTTAGCCTTGGCTATTTATACAGGGAATGGTGCAAGGTTTTAGATATACAGTATTCCAACTTTAAAATGAGTGTCTCTTCTATTTAGCATTAGGTTGTGCATATCCTGTCATTCTTTAATTTATTGAATTCTTTTGAGTGTTTGAAATTTTAGATTTAGTAGAAGCTGCATTAACAAAATAGTCAGCTTTGCAAGCTACCCTTAAAATTAATTCCCATGTTATTGAATTTATTCATTTGTGATTTCAGTTGTAAATTTGCAAGCATTAAGGATAAGAGAGTTGTGTTTGCAGTACTAGGTAACTTTATTAAGGAAATATTTTGATCACCAAGGGCTTTGTTAGTCTAAAGCGCCTGAGGGATGAGACTTTTCTTTGATAATGTACCTAGCATTGCACACGTCTCATAAATGTATGTGTTGATGTTGCATACCGTGTTAACTGTTGCTGATAAGCCAGTGAATATTTTTTCACTGAATGATCATCTCAGAAGGTAGCAGCAAGTTGTGAATTTTAATATTTTTCATGTGAACACTCACTATAGTCAATTAACTGAGATATTCATTATGACTGAATGTTGGTAGTGTAATAGGGCAGATAATTTCAGGACTGTAGGTTTGATTCCTCTTCACTTTTTGGAATTAATTACTTGCCATGACATTACACATTTCATAAACTCAGTTTATGGTATTCTTTATGTGAACACTTAACAAAATGTGGCAATTTTTACCCAGTGCAGTAGCACTTCATTTATGTCAATATGGATAAAGTGTATCTTATAATTTCCAGGTCTCATTGTTGGCTTTTCTCAGTATTACAGTACTCAATACTTGGAAGTAACTGCTTAAGTCATTTTATGATATTCTCACAAGTAATATTGGTGCACATTAAAACATTTCAGGGTTACATTTGAGCACCCTGTTGCTCTGCCTTTTTTTAATTTGCTAATTTATGGATAACTATACATTTTTATAGGATTATGTAAACTAAATTAAATTAAAAAACTAGTGTTTATAGAGTTACAGGATATATAAAGAATTGATGCTTAGAGCCCTATTAGAAATTTACTGTATCAAATAAAGATATGTTGGATATTCAAACTCTGTTACAAGCAAGATGAATATTTAGCTCTAACTTGAGAGACTCATCAGGAGTGTTTATCATATTGTATAAAGATTTAGAATGCTCAGTAAACAAAATGCAACAAGAAACTTGCATTTTACTGCCAATAATGTAATAATAGTATTTTAATGACAATGCAGTTTCTAAATAACTTACAAGGTGTAGTTTATATTCTAGCAAAGATGATTGCTGAATATCTAAACACAAAGTGCATGGATCTGTTTTTAGAGTATAGTACAGTATATGAGAACCAGTGTCAAGTGTACTGTGTGTTAGGGCCAAGCATGGAATTTCCAGTTACAGTACTGATACATACTGAGAATCTTTATGTACAGAAACATCCAGCAGGCACATGCAGCATAACTATGTTATGCTATGTTCATTCGTCTTTAATTGTGAATTACATTATTTGAGTAGAGTATTGTGAAAAATTTGTTATGAAATTAATAGCTGCTTCTTGCCATGTACAGGATTGCTTTTCATTCAAATACTGTATCTAAATTATATCAGTCCCTCTGATCTCAGTTTCTCCCTCTATATACATTTGTCTTATATTAATAGTCAAGGTATTGTCTATAAATATCTTTTTATATTGTCATATCACATGTTTACCTGCCACTTTCTTGTTCACTTGTTTATTATCAGTTCATTTTTCCTATCTTTTCCATGAGCCCCTCTTCTTTTCAAATTTTAATGTGCTTTTTTATTTCCTACAGTTAGTATAAGGTTCGTTAAATACAGTATTTTCCCTGTATGCCTTATGAAGATTGTATTTTCCTCAAATATTACTCACTCATAATCATTATATATTTCTTGTTTTGATATTGTACATCAGCATTTTCCCGTTGAGGAAGGATTAACTAAATTATAAAACTTTTGTGAGCTCTCACTCCTTAGCTTTTTTACCAGGACACAGACATCGCAGTCCAGTGTTGACCTAATGAAGTGTGACATCCCCACCCCCCTTGTGGTTCAGCGAGGTAACATCAGACTGTAATGGCTGTGTTCTGAAATGACAGCTAAGGAGTAATTGATGGTGATTTCTTTTTGTTTCTTTAGATTACCTTGCCTTGGGTGGCCAAGGTAATCTAAAGAAATAAAAAAAAAAACATTTACTCATTAGCTGCCTTTTCAGAACACAGCCATTACAGTCTGATGTTAGCTCACTGAACCACAAGGGATGGGGATGTCGCACTTCATTAGGTCAACACAGAACTGTGAAGTCTGTGTCCTTAATATAATAATAATAATAATAATAATAATAATAATAATAATAATAATAATAATAATAATAATAATAATATCTTTATTTACTACAAGCATGTACATGTGCAAGGTATTCAGGCCTAGCTGACATCACTGACATACGTACTACTATATAGAAAGTCCCTTGTTATGCAGAGCATTTTGGGCAAATTAGGTCAGTTTTGTCCCAGGATGTGACCCACACCAGTCAACTAACACCCAGGTACCCATTTCACTGATGAGTGAACATGGACAACTGGTGTGAGGGAACACGTTTGATGTTTCCACCCCTTTGCTGGGAATCAAACCCAGACCCCTCACCATGTGAAGCAAAAGCTTTTGCCAGCAAACCACGGGGCCTTCTGGAAAGAAACTTACAGAGTGAGAGCTGGCAAAAGTTTTTAAGTGTTTAAAATACAAATTGAAATATTTTCAGTGTGTCATTAACATCTGTCTCACTTTCAGCAATTTTATGTTGAAACTCTCACTCCCATATTCCATTCAACATTTTCAGAGAGCAATGTCATACGCCTTCTAAGAGAATCGGGCCTTCAGCGGGTGTTAGCTATTTTGGATGCCTGGGAGAAGATAGAGCGTCGGCATCAGGTGAAGGTTATCAAGGCAATCTTAGGAACATTATCTCACGTCTGTGACTCGAGTTAGTACCAAAGATACATTTCTGGCCTTTTCTTCTACAAAAATTAATAAGTATGATTTTGTCTTAAATTTGCCATGAAAAATAATAGTATTTAATTACTTCAGTTTAATATTTAAAAGTTCTATTGTACATGTTTTGATTTTTTTGTGTTTAGAAAAAATTATACCAAGAATATAATTTACCTGACTACACCCAAGCAGTAAATATTACAGGAAAAAACCAGTAGTTGAATGAATACAGTAAGTCTGCATGGAAGGAAGGGAGAATAGATGGGCACCAATTAATCACATAAAAGCAGCCTCTTAGAGAAAATTTTACTGCAAGAATGACTTAATCATCATACTATTATTATATTCAGGGGTCATACAGTGTCTGGAGAATGGGAGGTAATCAGGTTTGATCTAAAGAAGGTCAGTGTAGCTCCATTTACTTGCATCTAGAGCCTTTCACTGGCATAAAGTCATGTACGTATCTCCCTTACAGGAATTGAATCTTCTTTTCTTCTTTCAACAAACCAGCCATATTCCACCGAAGTAGGGTGGCTCAAAAAGAACAACAAAAGTTTCTCTTTTTAACTTCAGTAATGTATACAGGAGAAAGGGTTACTAGCCCCTTGCTCCTGGCATGTCAGTTGCCTCTTGTGAAACGCATGGCCTACAGAGGAAAAATTCTGTTCCACTTTCCCATGGAGGTAAGAGGAAATAAACAAGAACAAGAACTAGTAAGAAAATAGGAGAAAACTCAGAGGTGTGTATGTATATATGCTTGTATATGCAAGTGTAGCATGACCTAAGTGTAAGTAGAAGTAGCAAGACATACCTGAAATCATGATGTTTATGAGACAGAAAAAAGATGCAGCAATCCTACCATCATCTAAAACAATCACAGGCTTCCGTTTTACACTCATTTGGCAGGATGATAGTACCTCCCTAGGCATTTGCTGTGTACCATCCTACTACCTAGGCTTACTATAAATCTTTCTTTCTTTGAACACACCGGCCGTATCCCACCGAGGCAGGGTGGCCCAAAAGGAAAAATGAAAGTTTCTCCTTTTACATTTAGTAATATATACAGGAGAAGGGGTTACTAGCCTTGCTCCTGGCATTTGTCGCCTTTACAACATGCATGGGTTAGGAGGAAGATTTGCTCCACTTCCCAGGAAGTAAGGAAATAAACAAGAACAAAAACTAGAAAGAAAATAGAAGAAAACCCAGAGAGGTGGTTATATGCTTGTTCATGTATGTGATTGTCCTTAAAAACAGAGTAGGGGAGTTAGTAGATGGGAGAAGGGAGGTATTAGGTAGATGGCGAGAATATTTTGAGGAACTTTTAAATGTTGAGGAAGAAAGGGAGGCGGTAATTTCATGCACTGGCCAGGGAGGTATACCATCTTTTAGGAGTGAAGAAGAGCAGAATGTAAGTGTGGTGGAGGTACGTGAGGCTTTACGTAGAATGAAAGGGGGTTAAAGCAGCTGGAACTGATGGGATCATGACAGAAATGTTAAAAGCAGGGGGGGATATAGTGTTGGAGTGGTTGGTACTTTTGTTTAATAAATGTATGAAAGAGGGGAAGGTACCTAGGGATTGGCGGAGAGCATGTATAGTCCCTTTATATAAAGGGAAAGGGGACAAAAGAGATTGTAAAAATTATAGAGGAATAAGTTTACTGAGTATACCAGGAAAAGTGCACGGTAGGGTTATAATTGAAAGAATTAGAGGTAAGACAGAATGTAGAATTGCGGATGAGCAAGGAGGCTTCAGAGTGGGTAGGGGATGTGTAGATCAAGTGTTTACATTGAAGCATATATGTGAACAGTATTTAGATAAAGGTAGGGAAGTTTTTATTGCATTTATGGATTTAGAAAAGGCATATGATAGAGTGGATAGAGGAGCAATGTGGCAGATGTTGCAAGTTTATGGAATAGATGGTAAGTTACTAAATGCTGTAAAGAGCTTTTATGAGGATAGTGAGGCTCAGGTTAGGGTGTGTAGAAGAGAGGGAGAATACTTCCCGGTAAAAGTAGGTCTTAGACAGGGATGTGTAATGTCACCATGGTTGTTTAATATATTTATAGATGGGGTTGTAAAAGAAGTAAATGCTAGGGTGTTCGGGAGAGGGGTAGGATTAAATTATGGGGAATCAAATTCAAAATGATGATACTGTGCTTATGGGAGATTCTAAAGAAAAATTGCAAAGGTTAGTGGATGAGTTTGAGAATGTGTTGTAAAGGTAGAAAGTTGAAAGTGAACATAGAAAAGAGTAAGGTGATGAGGGTATCAAATGATTTAGATAAAGAAATATTGGATATCAAATTGGGGAGGAGGAGTATGGAAGAAGTGAATGTTTTCAGATACTTGGGAGTTGACGTGTCGGCGGATGGATTTATGAAGGATGAGGTTAATCATAGAATTGATGAGGGAAAAAAAAGGTGGAGTGGTGCGTGAGGTATATGTGGAGTCAAAAAACGTTATCTATGGAGGCAAAGAAGGGAATGTATGAAAGTATAGTAGTACCAACACTCTTATATGGATGTGAAGCTTGGGTGGTAAATGCAGCAGCGAGGAGACGGTTGGAGGCAGTGGAGATGTCCTGTTTAAGGCCAATGTGTGGTGTAAATATTATGCAGAAAATTCGGAGTGTGGAAATTAGGAGAAGGTGTGGAGTTAATAAAAGCATTAGTCAGAGGGCAGAAGAGGGGTTTGTTGGAGGTGGTTTGGTCATTTTAGAGAGAATGGATCAAAGTAGAATGACATGGAAAGCATATAAATCTATAGGGGAAGGAAAGAGGGGTAGGGGTCGTCCTCGAAAGGGTTGGAAAGAGGGGGTAAAGGAGGTTTTGTGGGCGAGGGGCTTGGACTTCCAGCAAGCATGCATGAGCGTGCTAGATAGGAGTGAATGGAGACGAATGATACTTGGGACCTGACGATCTGTTGGAGTGTGAGCAGGGTAATATTTAGTGAAGGGATTCAGGGAAAACCGGTTATTTTCATATAGTCGGACTTGAGTCCTGGAAATGGGAAGTACAATGCCTGCACTTTAAAGGAGTGGTTTGGGATATTGGCAGTTTGGAGGGATATGTTGTGTATCTTTATACGTATATGCTTCTAAACTGTTGTATTCTGGGCACCTCTGCAAAAGCAGTGATAATGTGTGAGTGTGGTGAAAGTGTTGAATGATGATGAAAGTATTTTCTTTTTGGGGATTTTCTTTCTTTTTTGGGTCACCCTGCCTCGGTGGGAGACGACCGACTTGTTGAAAAAAAAAAAAAATGTATGTGTAGTGTGACCTAAGTGTAAGTAGAAGTAGCAAGACATACCTGAAATCTTGCATGTGTATGAGACAGAAAAAAAAGACACCAGCAATCCTACCATCGTGTAAAACAATTACAGGCTTCCATTTTACACTCACTTGGCAGGATAGTAGTACCTCCCTGGGCAGTTGCTGTCTACCAACCTACTACCTACTTAGTATAAATACACACATATACAAGTAAATGGTGCAGTACACATCATGGTTGTTTTATTTATTCATAGGTATTCCTTACATTATAATATTACAGTATTTCTAATATTTTCAAGAACCTTTGTCACCTTCAAACTGCTTTATCAAAAATAATTTTATTTAAAAGATTAAAATAAATTATTCATTTAATTTTTTAGCTTTATATACCTCTTATACAACTGAAATATTAATGTGCAAAGAATTTTATTTTGCTCATCACTAGAATTCTTTTTCAGAACATGGACGCAAAGCTGTAATGTCCTTGAATGGCATGGAAATTGCACAGCGTTTTATACAAACGTGCCCTGCTGACAAGAAATTTGATAGCAACCTTGCAAGTGCCACAAATGTTTTCCTAAAGTGTGTTAGTAAGGGAGAGTTACCTGTGTCTTCCATACGTTCAGCATTTACCTTCCAGGTGCCAAATAAAGCTGATTCAGAAGCAAGCTCAGGTATCAAACTAGCTTCACCTTAGTTTGCATTAATATTTTACTAATACTATAGAATGAAGAATAAAAATCACAATATCACACCTGGAAAGAAAATTTTAGATTTCATTTTGGTCTATCCTGAGCCATTATCATAATGATCCAGGATGAAACAAAAGTCTTATAAGGTTTCCTCTCTGAATTATTGTTTACAGAGGTGATAAAATGTTTTAAAAATAGATATTTCCTATTTCTATATTTAAAAATTTTGTATAAATTGTATATAAATTTTGCTCTTATTGTGTACTCTATCTACATTTACCATGGCTTCATTTATTGAATAACCTTGTGGATGGCTTGCAGATGTTTCTCATAAACCTACCTCAGGTTTGGATGGTGATTCTTCAGAAGATGAAGGAGATGATGAGGTGGATGAGGATGAAGAAGATTTTGAGTTGTCCAGAGATTTTAAAGGAATTGACTTAATCTCAGAGTATTTTCCTCAAAGACCCAGGATGGAAGAATTGTTGAAATTAGAACCTCTTTTTCCTGAACTTAACAATTTTCATGTTCCTGATGTGACAAGAATGAAAGAGGCTGTGCCTCATACCAGAAAAGGTATGTTTTAAATATCAAAAAATATTTAAACAAAAAGTAAAACTGGCATATTGGTATGAAAATATAATGACAAAAATGTCTAATTATTGTTCTATAATCTTAATTTGCAATTTTTAGCTGGGAGCTCAACACCTAAAGAAAACAGAGAACATTACCTTCAAGCTTCCAACGCTCCAAAGAGTCTTATAAACTTTGTGAAAGTTGCCTATCCAGACATGGTGGCTGCGTTTGGTTCTTGTCTTCTTGAGAAATTGTATGAAAAGGACCGCAAAGTTTGCAGGTGGAGTTTATTACTACAGTATTTAATATATTTCATCAATGCAATGTGATATTTTAGTGTGTAAAATAGTGTATCATGAAGACAAATTTGAAACGTATTCTTTTGTGAAAAATTTAAAACACTGTATTACCTATCAGGAGAAAAGCCATCGAAACTGTTGACGTGTATTTCACCCGAAATCTATAGGGAGCGTGTTTTTTATGACTTGGACTACTTATGGAAACGAACAATCAAAGATCTGATACTTCCCTAAAAAGTCCTTCCAGGTACTGTAGTTGATATCTAAATCCAAATTTAAAATTTTTTTTCCCCTTCGTTTGGAAAAATTTAGTTAATATTAAAAAAAATGTTACTCCATCCTCTGAACTAGATTATGACGGGGCAAAACTAAGTTTTTTGGATTGGGATTTCCTTTAGCTTTCCAACTTTATTATACTGTATATGTAATGTTTTAAAGAATTCACATTTTTTATATTAATATTAATTTTTGAGGATTAATCTCAATTTACCTCTCTGTTTTGTAATGAGGGTGGAAAGCATCTCCATCTTCCAGCAAATGCTACCTTCAATAATTTTCCTTTACCATTATAGACTGCTAAGCAATTTGATGAAAAACGTGTTGGCAAACGGATCAACCGTCAGCCCCTAATTTGAACTAGGTTTTTAAAGTGGGAATTGCGCAGAGTAATTCAGGTGAGTTCAAAAATTCCCCAGAAAAAAACCAGTAATTACAATACTGTATGTGGTAAAACCTTCATTAATTGACCAGTTTGGGGAAAAGGGGTATGACAAAGCCAAAAAATTTTGAAATTTAAAATTTCATATCAGTTTTTCATTGAAGATGACAACTTCTGGGTATTGTAAGCTGTAGTACTACAGTACAGTATTGTGCTGAATAGTAATTTTATAGTACATTGGACCCCTGGATTTCATCCAGTCCGGATATCATACAGTTCAGATTTTGACCACTTTTTTGGCGAATTTTTACCTCGGGTTTCGTACATCCACTCAGAAATAGTTCGTATCAGACACGTCTGCCTGGACCGCTCATACGTTTGTGATACTAATACTGATAATAATAACTCTTGGGCACATTAAATGTCTTAGTAGGTTAATATAGACATTTTCATTAATCCATCTATGATATTTTCTTCAAAATTGTATAAAAACACGTTATATAGCATATAAACATGCCTTTGTTACTCGTTCACTAAGAGTGTCCCTCTAGTCTTAACACCACAGTAATAAATACTAATTTTTTTTTTTTCAACAAGTCAGCCGTCTCTCACCGAGACAGAGTGACCGAAAAAAGAAAGAAAATCCCCAAAAAGAAAATACTTTCATCTTCATTCAACACTTTCACCTCACTCACACATAATCACTGTTTTTGCAGAGGTGCTCAGAACACAACAGTTTAGAAGCATATACGTATAAAGATACACAACATATCCCTCCAAACTGCTTATATCCCGAAACCCCTCCTTTAGAGTGCAGGCATTGTACTTCCCATTTCCAGGACTCAGGTCCGGCTGTATAAAAATAACTGGTTTCCCTGAATCCCTTCGCTAAATATTACCCTGCTCACACTCCAACAGATCATCAGGTCCCAAATACAGTGGACCCCCGGTTCACGTTATTAATCCGTTCCTGAGAGCTCATCATAAAGCAAAATTATTGGAAAGCGAATCAATTTTTCCCATAAGAAATAATGGAAATCAAATTAATCCGTGCAAGACACCCAAGAGTACGAAAAAAAAAAATTTTACCACGTAAAATATTAAGTTTAATGCAATAGAATAATTACAATAGGAATAATAACAATAGAATAATCACAATAGAATAATTGACACTTACCTTTAATGAAGATCTTTTGATGATTGATGGGATGGGAGGAGGGGAGAGTGTCGAAGTTTTTAATGTTCAGCTCCTTTTTGGTCTGAACTGGCAGCCTCACCATGCCTAATCACACTATGTATGCCACTACGATTCTTAAATCTTTCAAACCAACCTTTGCTGGCCTTAAATTCACTCACATCACCACTAGTTGCTGGCATTTTTCTAATTAAATCCTCATGCAACTGCCTAGCCTTTTCACAAATGATCGCTTGAGAGATGCATCTCCAGCAAATCTGTTTTTCATTTATCCACACCAATAACAGTCTCTCAATTTCTAACACTTGCGATTGCTGTTTTGTAATCACAGTTGCACCTTTTGCAAGAACAGCTTCCTTGATTGCCGTTTTCCTGCTCACTATAGTAGAGATGGTTGATTGGGATTTTCTATACAACTTGGCCAGGTCCGACACATGCACTCCACTTTCATACTTTGCAATTATCTCTTTCCTCATTTCAATAGTCATTAGCACCCTTGGTCTCGATGGGTTGGCACTAGAAGCTTTCTTGGGGCCCATGGTGACTTATTTTGCAGAAACAAGCACCAAAACCAGTGATAATGTGGATAATATGGAATGTACTAAATTTATCCTTAGATGTGCACACACTGGCTGGCTTGTAAACACTGGCACACATGGGGCAGTTCAGGCCACACATGGACACGTCTGGTATGAATCGTATCGCATACCGGGTTTGTAATGGGAATCGAGGCAAATTTTTTGCGATGTAATGCTTCGGATACCGGATTTATCGGTTACCGATGACTTCGTGAACCGGGGGTCCACTGTACCATTCGTCTCCATTCACTCCTATCGAATACGCTCATGCACGCCTGCTGGAAGTCCAAGCCCCTCGCCCACAAAACCTCCCTTACCCCTTCCAACCTTTTCGAGGACGACCCCTACCCAGCCTTCCTTCTCCTACAGATTTAAATGCTCTCCATGTCATACTATTCTCTCTAAATGACCAAACCACCTCAACAACCCCTCTTCAGCCCTCTGACTAATATTTTATTAACTCCACACCTTCTCCTAATTTCCACACTCCTAATTTTCTGCATAATATTTACACTGCACATTGCCCTTAGACAGGACATCTCCACTGCCTCCAACCGCCTCCTCGCTGCTGCATTCACAACCCAAGCTTCACACCCATATAAGAGTGTTGGTACTGCTATACTTTCATACATTCCCTTCTTTGCCTCCATAGATAACGTTTTTTGACTCCACGTATACCTCAACGCACCACTCAACTTTTTTCCCTCATCATTCTTCATAAATCCATCCACTGACACGTCAACTCCCAAGTTTCTGAAAATATTCACTTCTTCCATACTCCTCCTCCCCAATTTGGTATCCAGTTTTTCTTTATCTAAATCATTTGATACCCTCATCACCTTACTCTTTTCTATGTTCACTTTAAACTTTACACACACTCCCAAACTCATCCACTAACCTTCGCAATTTTTCTTTAGAATCTCCCATAAGCACAGTGTATCATCAGCAAAAAGTAACTGTGTCAATTCCCATTTTGTATTTGATTCCCCATAATTTAATCCCACCCCTCTTCCGAACACCCTAGCATTTACTTTTACAACCCCATCTATAAATATATTAAACAACCATTGGCAGTTTGGAGGGATATGTTGTGTATCTTTATATGTGTATGCTTCTAAACTGTTGTATTCTGAGCACCTCTGCAAAAACAGTGATAATGTGTGAGTATGGTGAAAGTGTTGAATGATGATGAAAGTATTTTCTTTTTGGGGATTTTCTTTCTTTTTTTTGGGTCACCCTGCCTCGGCGGGAGACGGCCGACTTGTTGAAAAAAAAAAAAAAAAAAACATGGTGACATTACACATTCCTGTCTAAGACCTACTTTTACCGGGAAGTAGTCTCCCTCTCTTCTACACACCCTAACCTGAGCCTCACTATCCTCATTAAAACTCTTTACAGCATTTAGTAACTTACCACCTATTCCATATACTTGCAACATCTGCCACATTGCTCCCCTATTCACTCTATCAAATGCCTTTTCTAAATCCATAAATGCAATAAAAACTTCCCTACCTTTATCTAAATACTGTTCACATATATGCTTCAATGTAAACACTTGCTCTACACATCCCCTACCCACTCTGAAACCTCCTTGCTCATCCGCAATCCTACATTCTGTCTTACCTCTAATTCTTTCAATTATGACCCTACCGTACACTTTTCCTGGTATACTCAGTAAACTTATTCCTCTATAATTTTTACAATCTCTTTTGTCCCCCTTCTCTTTATATAAAGGGACTATACATATGCTCTCTGCCAATCTCTAGGTACCTTCCCCTCTTCATACATTTATTAAACAAAAGTACCAACCACTTCAACACTATATCCCCCCCCCCCTGCTTTTAACCTTTCTGTCATCATCCCATTGTTCCTGCTGCTTTACCCCCTTTCATTCTACGTAATGCCTCACGTACCTCCCCCACACTTACATTTTGCTCTTCTTCACTCCTAAAAGATGGTATACCTCCCTGGCCAGTGCATGAAATTACCGCCTCCCTTTCTTCCTCAACATTTAAAAGTTCCTCAAAATATTCTCGCCATCTACCTAATACCTCCATCTCCCCATCTACTAACTCCCTTACTCTGTTTTTAACCCTTTGAGGGTCGACAGGCCCTCTCCGAAACTCGTTCTCAGGGTCGGCCAAATTTCAAAAAAAAAAAAAAATTATTTTTTCTTATGAAAAAATAGAGCTTTTTTTTCTAAACATTATAGGATAAACAAAAAAAATTTACCATCAATACTTACGGAGTAGGATGCATGAAGTTTGCAGAAAAATGAACCCTTTATGGAAACAGCGGCGACTGCCCCCTCCCCCGGTTTATTTGTTTATTGATTTGAAGGTTTGTTTTTTTTTTCATTTTTATTTCTTACATACTTTGGGGCCCTATGGACCAAAGAAAGGGCAATGTACATTATCCCTCGTTGATACAACCAATAACACACAAACATAATTTCAATATATTGTTTACAAAACTTGTTTACAAAAAAAACAATACAAAACATTGTTTTTTATTATTGTTTATAATATAATACCAATATACAGTCGCTGAACAATTCCTTTTTGTTCTGCAGCTTGGGGAACTCTGAAACTGGTGTCATACACAATGGTGTTTT